AGCCGCGACCACCAGTTCTTTGCTGCTCTGCAACCCGCACACGTGCGCAATCACACACACAAGCACTCTCAGGCGAACCGCGCCCACGGACTCCATACTTCGACATACACATGTGTGTGCAGTCGGTCACACATAAGCATGGCAAGCCGACGTGTCTCCACGTATCTTTGTAGTTTAGATCGGCAGCACACATGAGTATGCGTGTGTAACCGCCCACCCACAAACAATAATCACAGGTTGATCAATTCCGCAACAAGCATGTGTTTGCTGGGAAGCACAACCCCTTCAACGGGAACTGCGATTACGGGACCCTTTCGCGTAATCCGCACACACGCGCGTGTGTTCGCGCAAGGACACATTTAAAGCACGCAGCGTCGTAACAGATGGATAACCATTTCACGCATGTGTGCGCAATACACAAATGCCATTCAACCCATGACAACGTGCTGTCACTGGGCGGGCTCCAAGATTCGGCAACACGCGCTCGTTCGCACACGTGCTATACCAAACATGCAAGCACCTTTACCAGAACCGCGACCATGGTTTCCGTACGCTTGCACGGTTCCCTGCAACATGCACACATGTGCAAGCACGCCAACAGGCACTGTAAGCGGACATGTCATCACGGACTCCATGTTTGTGAATTACGCATGTGTGTGCATTCGTTCACACGCAACGAACCGATACCTCAGCTCTGCAACACACATGTGTGCGCGAAACCATCCACCGACACACAATGACCGAACGCATGTCTGCGCAATCGCCCTCACAAGAACCGTGACAGCCGATTGCTTGTTTCTGCCGCACATGTACACGCAATACCAAAACCCAGAAACATGTGAAGCTGCAAACGGAAACTGCCAACACGAATACCTGGCTTCTGCAACACTCACGTGTGCACAATCACATGGAGTGATCCAGATGGCATTCGCAAGACAACTGTACCCGCCAACATATTCACGCAGGTTCCTTGCTACTGCAACCTGTGTGGGTGTGCGTGTGTGTGTGTGTATATACATGTTTGTATGTGTGTTTGAACGTTTGTGTGTTTTTGTGCGTTTGTACTTGTGGGTGTGGGTGTGCGTGATTGTGTGTTGGTGTGTTTGTGTGTATGTGTTTGTGTGTGTGTGTGTGTTTGTGTCTTTGTGTGTTTGTGTGTTTGTGTGTTTGTGTGTTTGTGTGTTTGTGTGTTTGTGTGTTTGTGTGTTTGTACTGTGTATGTGTGTTTGTACTGTGTCTGTCTGTGTGTCTGTGTGTCTGTGTGTCTGTGTGTCTGTGTGTCTGTGTGTCTGTCTGTGTGTCTGTGTGTCTGTGTGTCTGTGTGTCTGTGTGTCTGTGTGTCTGTGTGTCTGTGTGTCTGTGTGTCTGTGTGTCTGTGTGTCTGTGTGTCTGTGTGTCTGTGTGTTTGTGTGTTTGTGTGCTGATGTGTTTGTGTGTGTGTGTGTTTCTGAATTCGCATGTTCGCATGTTCGCGCACCCGCGCGTGCGCGTGCGCATGCATGTGCGTGTGTGGGCGGGTGTGCGGGTGTGTGTGCGGGTGTGTGTGTGTGTGTGTGTGTGTGTGTGTGTGTGTGTGTGTGTGTGTGTGTGTGTGTGTGTGTGTGTGTGTGTGTGTGTGTGTGTGTGTGTGTGTGTGTGTGTGTGTGTGTGTGTGTGTGTGTGTGTGTGTGTGTGTGTGTGTGTGTGTGTGTGTGTGTGTGTGTGTGTGTGTGTGTGTGTGTGTGTGTGTGTGTGTGTGTGTGTGTGTGTGTGTGTGTGTGTGTGTGTGTGTGTGTGTGTGTGTGTGTGTGTGTGTGTGTGTGTGTGTGTGTGTGTGTGTGTGTGTGTGTGTGTGTGTGTGTGTGTGTGTGTGTGTGTGTGTGTGTGTGTGTGTGTGTGTGTGTGTGTGTGTGTGTGTGTGTGTGTGTGTGTGTGTGTGTGTGTGTGTGTGTGTGTGTGTGTGTGTGTGTGAACCTCCCTAGCACATGGGAGCAGAGGGTCACTCCTTTCCGTTGGATCTGACACATTCTTGCAATACATTTTCACTTAAACACATGAAAGTTTGCAGGGGACCACCGAGGCCTCCGGGGAGCGGTGGTCAACGAAGACCTTCCCGGAAAGCCTGTGAAAACGTACCTGCTTTTGCCACCTTCATTGCACCTGGGGCGGTCGTGCCAGCTGGTGGATGAGGAGTGGAAAGACAACGAGGACGAGGACAACGACGACGAACTTTTCATATGCACACCACAAGCATACCTGCGCAACTTTCGGCAGCCCCCTGTGGTGCCAAGATTAGCTCAAGGACAGGCCCCCTGTGGTGTCCAGATTAGACAACAACATACAACATACTCTCCTCTTCTTGCTCTCTTGGCCGAATCCATCAGTGTGACCAGCGTGGGTCTTGAGACTCCAGAGCAACGGCTTTCCGTCATGGCGCCGTGGTGACCCTCCGGGGAGACCGGTGATGAACCGGGTGTTCAGCCTTCGTTCAGACTGTTCAGAATCTCCCGATGCTACTTTATCTCTCTCTCTGATGCCGGCATGTGAGTCTGACATGAGTGCAGGTGCAGTAATGGACGGCTAATGCAGTAAAGTGCGTCTAGTGAGCAGGTGCTACCTCGCTAGTCTGTCCTCTATTCGACCGCTTCTTTATTTCTCAGGGACTGCAAGGGCATGTGCAACTGACATGAGGGCAGGTGTGGTAACCTTCGTCTAGTGCAAGTGAAGCGGCGCTTCCTCCGGGAAGTAATCGGCCTCTCGCTTCTCTCTCCCCCTAACCCCACACCTTAAGTTGAGGACCACGCAGGACGTGGTACCTCTCGTTCCATTGCTCCTGGGTGCTTTTCTGCACAGCTGGAGGATGGTCCACCGCTCTTGGGTGTCTTTTGCTACACAGCTGGAGGGTGGAATACCCTAATCCTGCTACTGGCCTTGGACCCTGCTCGGGTAGCCGGGCAGTAGTCACTCCGTTCCTGGGTCTTTGGTGACAGCTGGAAGGAGTGTCCTCACCCTATTCTCACCACCCTAATTACAACATACAACCACATGTGCAACACATTGGTCAGAAGCTGCTAGCCCTGGACCCCTTCGAGGGTAGCTGGGTAGCAGTTTTCTCCATTAACCCTCATTACTGTTGCTTTTGGGGGCCGTCGCGCCCAGCTGAGGAACAGTCCCCGGCTGGATCTGGGCCCTTGCAAGGGCAGCTGATCAGCCTTCCTTCCCCTCTGTCGCTTCTGGGGGCTTGCGTGCCCAGCTGAAGGACAGTCCTGAACCCTAAATTTTACGCCTCGCCACATCTTGGACTACCACAACATTACTACATTCTGGACTACATCGACAAGCTTTGCAAGCGGGCATTGCAGCCCACAGGGTTTTGTGGTTTAGTTTGGGTTCGTTTAGATCTTGGAGCCCTGGCGCGGCTTTATTCCACTGCACACAGCCGCCCCAAGCTGGGGCTGTGTGTGTGTGAACCTCCCTAGCACATGGGAGCAGAGGGTCACTCCTTTCCGTTGGATCTGACACATTCTTGCAATACATTTTCACTTAAACACATGAAAGTTTGCAGGGGACCACCGAGGCCTCCGGGGAGCGGTGGTCAACGAAGACCTTCCCGGAAAGCCTGTGAAAACGTACCTGCTTTTGCCACCTTCATTGCACCTGGGGCGGTCGTGCCAGCTGGTGGATGAGGAGTGGAAAGACAACGAGGACGAGGACAACGACGACGAACTTTTCATATGCACACCACAAGCATACCTGCGCAACTTTCGGCAGCCCCCTGTGGTGCCAAGATTAGCTCAAGGACAGGCCCCCTGTGGTGTCCAGATTAGACAACAACATACAACATACTCTCCTCTTCTTGCTCTCTTGGCCGAATCCATCAGTGTGTGTGTGTGTGTGTCTGTGTGTGTGTGTGTCTGTGTGTGTGTGTGTCTGTGTGTGTGTGTGTGTGTGTGTGTGTGTGTGTGTGTGTGTGTGTGTGTGTGTGTGTGTGTGTGTGTGTGTGTGTGTGTGTGTGTGTGTGTGTGTGTGTGTGTGTGTGTGTGTGTGTGTGGTGGTGTGTGTGTGTGTGTGTGTGTGTGTGTGTGTGTGTGTGTGTGTGTGTGTGTGTGTGTGTGTGTGTGTGTGTGTGTGTGTGTGTGTGTGTGTGTGTGTGTGTGTGTGTGTGTGTGTGTGTGTGTGTGTGCGTGGGTGGTGTGCGTGTGTGGTGTGTGGGTGTGTGCTGTGTGGTGTGTGGTGTGCGTGTGCGTGTGGTGTGCGTGTGCGTGTGCGTGTGCGTGTGTGTGTTGTGGTGTGTGTGTGTGTGTGTGTGTGTGTGTGTGTGTGTGTGTGTGTGTGTGTGTGTGTGTGGTGTGTGTGTGTGTGTGTGTGTGTGTGTGTGTGTGTGTGTGTGTGTGTGTGTGTGTGTGTGTGTGTGTGTGTGTGTGTGTGTGTGTGTGTGTGTGTGTGTGTGTGTGTGTGTGTGTGTGTGTGTGTGTGTGTGTGTGTGTGTGTGTGTGTGTGTGTGTGTGTGTGTGTGTGTGTGTGTGTGTGTGTGTGTGTGTGTGTGTGTGTGTGTGTGTGTGTGTGTGTGTGTGTGTGTGTGTGTGTGTGTGTGTGTGTGTGTGTGTGTGTGTGTGTGTGTGTGTGTGTGGGTGTGTGTGTGTGGGTGTGTGGGTGTGGGTGTGGGTGTGGGTGGGTGGGTGGGTGGGTGGGTGTGTGTGTGTGTGTGCGTGTGTGCGTGTGTGCGCGTGTGGGCGTGTGGGCGTGTGGGCGTGTGTGCGTGTGTGCGTGTGCGCGTGCGTGCGTGCGTGCGTGCGTGCGTGCGTGCGTGTACGTGTGTTCGCGTGTTCGCGTGTGCGCGTGTGCGCGTGTAGGCGTGTGTGGGTGTGTGGGGGTGTGTAAGTGTGTGAAGAACGTCAGCGACGGCAGCAGCAACAGAAGCAAACAAAACGATGAAAAAGCGAAGGTCGGCCCCACAAGCTTTTGAGAAACCGTAACCCCTGGCCCCCAAAACCCAAAAACTCAACCCTCAAGCCTAAACCCTAGCCGTGAGCCCGGTCCTGCGAAACCTCTCCCGCCGACTGCGAGCGGCTCAGGCCCTGGTCGCTGTTCTTGGTGGCATGGGGAACCGTAGTGCAAACTCCGAATACTGAGGATCCTTAACGTAAAGAACCCAACAAAAGCCTACGAAAGGATACCCAACTTTCAAGATACTTTCGTACAAAGAGAGAAAGCCTCCTGCAGCAAGGTCGTCCGTATACAAACCATTAGATCTCCTCATGCCGCACTTTCCAAAAGACTCCGCTTGATCACAAAATCTGAGGAAGTCTGTAGGAAAATAAGACACCACAACATAAAACATCAAAGAATAGGTAGACTTGTAAAACATCTAAGCAAGATTCCGCGACCCTGCCAGGCTAGCACTCCAGAGACCAAACGGTGTGGGTCTGACAAATGGTTCGGAAACCCTTATTAAGCCACAGCTGACCTTGGAAAAGGGCAGGCCGGCGCAGGTGTACTGATCCTTGACGTTGTACTTCCCCGGCTCAAAAAACCTGAGTAAAAAGGGCTCAGGGTTCAATTTAAGAATGTAACAGGCTTTTCGGGCGTGCTAAGGGAACAGTCCTGCTAAGCACTTACGCCGTCCAATGTTATGGGGCGTGGGGACGCCTTCAAAGTATCTTAAGCTTCTTTCCAACTATTTTCAATTTAAGGCAAGAGCTTTAGCTTCCTTTTCTTGGCTGCAGCACTCCCCGGCCGTAGGGTCTAGCGTGGACGGTTGCGGGCTGAGTCTTTCACGGGGGGAAACCTACTAACAAGCAGCACGCTAACTACGTGTTAGCCAAAACTTCCTACGAAGGTGCGGCTGCTTCTTGGTCGTAGTGCGGACTGCTCCCGGCGGTGCACACTTCTGTGCCCACCCCTAGGCGACCACCCGGTGGGAGGTGCCGGCCGTCTTTTGTCGTTGAGTCGTAAACCACCAGGGTGGTGTGGGTGGGAAATCCAAAACGGCGATCGAGCCGCAGAATGCTGCGGCGATCGCTGTTGCTTGCTCCCATGGCGGTTTCAGCTCCAGTGGTGGTCGCAGTGGTCGCGACCACCGCGGTGGTCGTGATCGTCGCGGTCGGTCGCGGTCGCAGTCGTGGTCGCAGTCGTGGTCGCAGTCGTCGTCGCAGTACGTCGTCGCAGCCCTTGCCGAAATCCAGGTCTTCCGAGCGACTACCTTTCGAAACCAACACAACAATTCCTTTGAGACCCCTAGCCCTAGCAGCTTCTACGACTTCATTCCCCGGAACCCTGAAGCCCAAGACCTAAACACGTCAACCCCCTAAGTCCCCCCTTAGTCCCAAAATCTCCCAAACCCGTTGTCTCCGAGACCCCTACACCCAACGCCCCAAAACGCGAACCCCTCCAGCACAGAGAACCATTCAGCCAAGCAGCGGGAAGTTCATGGCAAAGTCTGCAGTATGCCCATGCCTGGGCAGGTGCTTCACTTGGGGGGCTTCCGAGGAATTTCCCCAAAGGCGCTCAGTCGTGGGGTTCGGAGTTTCCACGCCTTTGCGGGTGCGAGAATTCGGGTGCGTGCTTAGGGACTCGTGGGCTGCGTCAGAGGATTAACCGTGAAATGCACACCAGCCCATGACGCTTGCATCGAATTTCGAGCATGTTGGGTGGCCTGCACGTCCATTTTGGAAACTACTGACAGAACTTACTCACCTCGTTCCCTTCTGCCCGCCGTGCCTGTGACATGATGTGCCACAGAAAGCGTGCCAATTAGCTCGGCCCTTCTGTGTGAACTGGCCCCAGCCCCAAAGACATGGCCGAGCTGCATGTGTCTCTTGAAGTCCCACGCCTGGGCTAAGCTGCTCCCGATGCTTCGGGCAAGGAGGGCTTTGGAACAAGAAGCCCGGGTCGTCCTGTAATCCTAGGCCCCTAAGGCCGTGGGATGAAGTTGAAAGATGAATCGGCTGTAGCCCGAGTCTTCCCCTGTATCCCGACGCCTGCAGGGGAAATCTGAGAGCCCGTGGCAGCAAGATGGCTACTGGTCACCATCACCATAGCACTCAAAGTAATCCTCATGCTGACAAAAGCCTGCCTAGAAGAAAATGGTGCATGTGCATGATAAGAAAGCACATCCACACCGAAAACACCCGCTGCACTCCTTTCGAACTTTCCTTTGCAGGTCGGTCGCAGGGCACCGGATGCCTTTCGAGCCCCCACCGTAAACCCGAACTCTAAGGCCCCAACCCCAAATCCGCAAGGAGCCAGGAGGCGGGTTGCCGAACTGACGACGAGGAAGCAGCATCCAGAGTGGCCCAGGCCTTTGTTTCGTCTTGATGGGTCTTGAAACGATGGGCGTGCTGCAAGGGCTGAGAAGGCGATTGAGCAGTTTCGGCCAGTTGAAGGGAATTCAACCGCAAAGGTTCAAAGGCAAGCCGAACTCTCAACGAAACCGATAATCTTGAGCCAATAAACCATGAAGCCTACAACCGAAGGACTTACGAGTAATTACCCCCCACCGTGGCTTCACCGTGGCTGCGCAAGCCGAGCAAACACAAGCGCGGCCGCGCGGGTCTCTTGCGTTGCAGGCACCCCGTAATGCTCCGGTGCGAAGGTCATGCCATAGTGGCAGGCGTCTGCGGGCTCTGGCCTCGGTCGCTCCGAGAAAGTCGTGACGTGGCAAGTGGCTTGTGAGCCTCTTCGGGGAAAAAGGATCCTGAAACAAACACCTCATGAGTGGGGCACAGGGCTTTTTCAACCACGGTTCAGATGCGGTTTATGACAGGGGCCCCAAAAGCCTCTCTGAACCCCAGACTCAAGGCCTCGAGGTGGCCAGCTTCAGGTAGCCGTCGCGCAGCCCAGGCTCGTACGCCTGCTCAGGTGCGGACTCCGGACCCACGGATGAAGGGGCTCTCTAGCGAAACACCTGCGCTGCAAAGAGGCTTAAGGTTGGGTTGCGCAAAGGGATCTGCAGAACCCTGGCCTTGGAGAAGCTAGACCAAGTCTCCCCAAGCTCCATTCCTCAACCATTTCAGAGGCACTTTTTCGTGACAAGATGAGAGATTATCTGGCAATCTGGCAGGCAGGGCTCTCAGATCAGAAGACAGGCTGCAGTTGAAGGAAAAAGGACGGCTTCGTTTTGTTGCGAGCTGGTGGAGCTTGACCCGCTGCGCGAATTCAGGCGCGTAAGGGCATGTACATCATGGACTTGACGGCTTGGCTCCATCGCAAACCCTGGAACCATAACTCCTGATACATGAATGCGACGTCAAGCTGCCAGAGTCCGCTTCTCGCTGCTTCCTCGCGGGAAGCGAGAGTGCGTCAAGCTTGGGGTCGAAGGCTCCGGCTCCGGCATGACAGCACGAAGACTCTGCATCTGGCCTTGCCTATCCTAAAAACCCTCCATGCCAACCCTTGAAACCCTCAACCAGCTGACGCCTCTGTTCGGTTGAGGGTTCGCGGGCTGTTTCTTCTAAAGGATTCCTTTGTGTTCAAGATTGCCAGGGCTGGAGGAATACGATCTCCGTCACGGCAAAGCTCTCAGGAGCAGGGCGGCCTCGGGACGTGCTTCGCCCGGGCACCGAACTCCCAGAGCCTCAGCCGCAGGGGAGCAAAGACGGGAGCTTGGCGCCTCTTGGGGGCTTTAGTTGGCTCTCTGGGTTCAACACGGTTCAACCCCAAAGCCTCGGAGCTCTGCTAAAATTCGGAGGACTCCCGTCCCAGATGATCCGAGGGGCGGGGAGCGCACTTTGGTAAAGCTGTGGGAGACGCGGTAGTGTCCTGGCAGTTGAGACTTATGGATTGAACGCTGCATTCAGGGTTGAGGATGGGGGGGCTTGCGGGCTCACGATCAACAACCCCCTCAAGTACCAACCTCGGGACCCTGCTTTGCCCTTGCAGGCCTGCTTCCGGCGTCTCGATGTTGTTGGGATGCATGAAGCCTGTCGGCGACTTCAGCCCAAACTCCCAACCACAATTACAAGCCGCTCTGCGCCGCCGCGACAGCCATCATCCATATCAACCCCGCACAATCACCAACATTGCCACTAGAATCACCAGCATCGTCACCCTCACCGTTGCAACGACGTTTCAGCACTGCGGGCTCATCCTCGCCGTCAATAATGTCAATATCAGCATCATCACCAACAACACTCCTCATCCGTAATCGTCATCGTCATCCTCGTCATCCTCGCCATCATTCTTGTCGCTCCACACCCATACTGCTATTGCCCATGTAAGACCCTTTGACCAGAAAGGATGCCACCGAAGCACGGCCGAAGAGTGCCCGTGCTGTCTCGCAGAAGTTGCCCTCATCCTGACCTGCCGCAGATCTTGTGGAGGATTTCTAGAAGATCGGGGAGGGCCGTAGGATCAGGACTATCAGGCTCTCGCGCCCCGAGCCCGATGAGATCTGATCAATCTAATCCTTGCAGCAAGCCCAAACCCACAAAACAACTGGCCAGGGTCCTTGTGAAGTAAATGCAGGCGTCGGCTTCGGCGACGCACCTGCATCCCGAAAAGGTCAGTTCAGGTGTCGGACGTAAGGACCATGGCTACAGATTTCCGAACTTCGGGGCTTGAGCTTGACGGAAACTGAAGGGCTTGTTGTTCGGATTGGGGATTCGGAGATTCAGGGTTGCACATACGGGCAAAGGGGCTTCAATTTTGGAGTCCGAGGGCACGAGACGCCGAAGGCCCAAAGATCTCGCTTAAGGCTGGATTTAGGGTGCTTCGTACTCCGGTCGCTTCTGTCACCCTTGCTTCAGGCCCACAGTCGCAAGTGCTCAAAATTTCGACAGTGACGGATTCTTTGTGGCCCAGCCACTACCTGACAGGTCCGCTGTGTCCCCAAGAGCTGCAGAAGACGCCGTAGTCTCGGCGTCCGTGCTCGCTGCGGAGGACCTGAGCTAGGGCAGCTACGGCTTCGGCAGAAGCAGGAGGATTTGGTTGGTCTGTCTAACTTTCGAAGGCTCAAAGAAGCTCAAGATCGGTTGAGTCGGTTGGAGCTTTCCGGGCATGCCGAAATGCTGCGCACCGAGTTGGACACGGCGATCCTGTGTTTGAAGCGGCGTCCTGTGTTTGAAGCCTGCACCGCTGCTGCATCGCCCCATACCTGAAATAACCAAAGCACCCAGAGCCAAAACCTCACTTGAACCCTAGGCTTTCCCACTCAAATCCGAGAAGCGCAGAGACCTGCGACGCCATGGACTTCATGGACCTCATCCCATCTATCTCCAAATCTCTCTCTCTCTCTCTCTCTCTCCCTCTCTCCTTCCACACAGCCAAAAGGAGCAGCGGTTAGTGGTTCTCTCTCTCTCTCTCTCTCCCTCTCTCGCTGCTTCTTCCAGACATAGAGGGCGTGTCAGGCCTTAGGGCATTTGGCCCGCAAGCATTGCGCAGCCGTCTCTCTCCTTCGTCTCTTGCTCAATCTTTATGAGACTTAAGTCCAAGGGGAGGAGGTTCAGGGTGAAGGGCTTCGGGCGAACCCGGGCTTCTCCTCCTGGAATTTTGAAAGCAGCAAGGACACTTGAGAGACTTCAAGGACGTCATGGTGGACATGAGCGACTTCCTCAGTGCCACAAAGACTTGGAGAACAGGCTTCAAAAGTTGCTTGGTTCGCTACGTGCAAGCGCAATCCCGAACAACACGCTATTGTGGGCTTTTCGGGCTTTGAGGGAATTGTCTGCGTCTCCGGATGCGAGAAACTGACTTGGAGGCTTGGGTTGAGAGTCTCTGGAGAATCAGACTTCTTGGAACGGTGCAGGGGTTAAGTGTTTCAGGGTTTGGGGTTGGAGGATGCTACGATTCCCGGTTCCAGGCTGTGCTGATTGGGGGTACCATTCAAACGAAAACTAGTCAGACCCCAGAAAGCTTATGCCTTCTCCCCAGAGCAACAACGAAAACGAAGGGCGAAAGAAACATGCCACTCAGTTCCTTCCAAAAGGCTGGAATGCACAAAATGAGATGTCGCTGAAAGCCCTCGACTAAGGGGCTGCCGCAACAGGAAGCTCAGTGCCTGGAGTGGAAACGCTGATGTCTCGTCTTTCGATGGAGGCCCCTTGGACCATAACGCACACACGGGCTGTTGCCTGAGCCAAGCTCTGAACTTAGAACCCCCTGAAAAGATCTTTAAACCCTTTTGAACACCAAAAAGCAATAACAAAATCCCGCAAACCCCTTATCTGTGTCGGGAGGCGAGGGGAAGACAGACAGACAGACAGACAGACACAGAGACACAGAGAGAGAGCGAAAAAAAAAAACTGTAGGACCCCATGCCCCGAACCAGGCTGTCGAGTGTCGGTGACGTCGGCGACTGCACCGACGCAAGGGACTTCATGCTCGCAGACTTTCGCATCTGGGGGGAAGACAGGGCGCTCCCATGCCGGGTCGTACAGGTTCGAAGGTCTGGTAACTCTGGTAGGTTCGGATGGGGTGATTTTACGACCAACACAGCTGGGGAAGTTGTGTAGTCCAGACTGGGGTTTGTCCTGCCTGCGCATCGTCCACGGCTTCCTCGGCCTCCTGGGACGTGGCCGGCTGCCAGAATCATCAAATCCACATCTGATGCAGGAACCCTGAACTTGGCAGGAGGCGGCAGTGTCAAGTCGGCGAGGCACAGTTTTCCGTCGGATCACGCATGGACTCCCAACAGGAACCTCAGCAACTTAAAACATACAGCATTCCGGGCCCGCCTTCTTCTTGCCGTCTCTCTTGCCATCTCTGCTGACAGGCGTGGCAGCGGTTGATCGCTGGAACGCCTGGAAAGGCTGGATATGTTTAATTTTTAAACGTCCCTTTTCATTTGCCGAAGTCTGGAAAGTGGTTCCCGCCCTGAACATCTGCGAACTGACAAAAGCGCTCCTGATCGGCGGCTTCCACGTGAGTGCGAAGCCTCCTGGCCACTGGCACGGGGATGAATCCCTATGGAGCAAGCGAGGTCAGGTACCGGAGCTCACCTACACATTCCGACATACCTGTCCACTCGTAAATTCCTGAGCGGGTAAGTGGTACGCGAGCTCGTCTCATGCGATGCCGAGTTGCTGCAGCGACCGCTCGGTCTGCCGGCCCAGGGACGAGAACTGTCCTCTGTAGCAGGCTTTTCCGGGTTTCACAATTGTTGAATGTCAGTCCTGCAATTCTGCACACGAAGCAACAACCAAATGCGGGTTTTGTGGGGATGCTTCTAGCGAAAAACTCGGAGTGCAACTGCCTATGCTTTATCTAGCGCGTGACGCGAGAACCTCCGAACACACGAAGTCCTAAACCTCTTGGTCAAATCAACAAGCTGGAAATCCAAGCCAAGTAACTGCCAGTGATCCCTGATGATAAATATTAATTATCGGATCCCAACTATCGTCGCCTTCACGGGGCAGAAGGGCTTTGGGATAAAGGGTGCGCTTCCCTTTACTCGTAATACTTTGGTGTTACTATGACTGCTGTAAGCCTCAAGCGACCATTCTGATTCCACAAGCCCTGGATCAGGGTTGATCCCGAAGCTCAGCGCCCTGTCATCCCTCAAGGTGAAATGATGTACTGTAGGGTTCAAGCTCTGGGCCGCAGAGCCACAACCCCAAAGATCGAATCCGCCGGAAGAGAGACTGTCGCCTGGTATGATCTCGGTGCAGATCGTCATGGCTCCAAGGAGTTGGGCCGAGGTCTGAGTCTATGGGATCGAAAGCGCCAAGGCATTCGAGTCTCTGAAGCTTTGTTGTATCAGGCATTGGGGTTGAGGGTCTGGTCCTTTCTAGGTCTACGGCGACTACGGGAGGAACAGTGGTACTGCAGTGGGCATCAGGCTGACACTTCTGAGCGCGTAATGGCTGCAGGTGGCCACACCGCTGACAGGGACAACCCCAAACTCCAATCCCAACCTCACCTTCGAAAACACGAAACTTGTAAATGCCAGTTCTTGTGCGAAAAGCACCTCTTTTGACCATCCAAACCCATGAAACAAGCTGGTAGACAAGCCCCGGATTCTCAAGGCCCCGCATCACTCCTGAAATCCCCCGACCGCACAATCTCTCGATCGCAAACCACAAAGCATGAGCCCCGTCTACCTACCAAACCGCAGGCCCAAAAACGCTAACGCACTCCGCAACTTGGCACCTGAGACCGCTTCGGGGGTGAAATGGGAGTAGTACCGTACAGTACAGAGGGGCCTTACTAATTAGAATAGGGCTCATAATTGTAATACAGAACTCCCAAAACAGTATCGGTAGTTATTTCGGCTCCTGTATGTTGGCCCTTGGAACCTCTCGAGACGGCTTGCCCGAACGCCAGAGCTTGCGACGGGGTCAGTTCCTGCTCTGTGGCGTAAAGCGGATAGCCGAGGGAATTCCCTTGGTACGCGGCTACCTCAGGGGCGGTGGTCTTTGGGGCCTTAAGGAGGACCTGAGCTCATGAATCTGTGCTCCAAAGTTCGTCCCGTGCCTGACCTGGGATCTGCATTTCTCATAGCAGTAGTAGCAGCCCGCGCAGCATGCGGAGGTTGTCTTGGTGCTGTGGGTTAAACATGTTAGGCCTCATTTCATCTCGGTTTTGGGATCCGTGGGGTCTGCGAAGGTGAGGAATGGCGCCGGGACTGGGAACCCGGCATGGAGCAGCTCCACCACAAAGCTCTCCGGCTTCTCCTCTCTTGGAAAGGCCCAGCTACTGAGCCAGCCCAGCAACTGTAGGCCCCTGGCCAAGGCTTAAGGCCTTGGGTTCAGAAGACTCGAGCCCCGCAAGTCTACCGGGCTACAGTAGCTTTCGGAGTGAAGCCTGGCCGGGACTCCTCCAGCATCTGCTGCAGCTCCGGAACATGTTGCTGAGTCTCTGCGACCTCCTCCGGAAGCACCTCAGAGCGGTTCGGGTTCGGGTTCTACACTCTAGCAGTTCAAAAACTCTACCAATGCACACCAGTACTAAGCACACCCCAATCTGAGCTCGCCAACTCCACTACATGGCCCGACTGTTAGCATGGCGATGGTCCTAAGAGTTAGGACCCCCTTCGCCTGTTTTGGGCTATTGGCACCGCTAGCCCCACCCCATGTAACATCCCCTCTCCCAACCTAAGAATACAATCCTATAGTAATACTCCGACACCCTTACCTAGGTGCCGTAACCCAAACTAGCCAAGGGGTTCCTAGAAGCCACACGACTCATTGGTGTTGCCCGCTTTATTGGAGTAGCCGCCTCTGATGTTTCATGCATCATCAGAATTCTTGAAATAGATTTCTATGCTAGGATGGGGGCTGGGTGGTGCCATAGCCCACACTAGGCGAAGGGGGTCCTAACCCTAAGACCTGAATCGCAATGCCCACATGCCCGAAACAGCACATTTTGGGAGGGGATCATCGGAAGAGTGCAAAGCACAGCCTTTAGAGTCAAGAGTTTAGAGTTTAGAGCTTGCGGTTGCTCGTTTCGGACTTGACAGGTGCAGGGCGACAAGCCATTCTTCTGCTCTCAACGAAAGCCGCTGAGTTCTTTCGTGTTCAAGAGCATGTAAACTGACCGTAATAGTATGCGGATCTTTGGCAAGAACAGGTTCCCGAACAAGAACCCAGACAAGCCAGATGCCTCGCTGGGAAGGTGCGCCCCAAGCCAGCTCTGCCAGGCTCCGGGCCAGAGGACAAAGTACGTTGGCCAACATCAGGGGCCTCGGCGAACGGCGAAGGCCACCACGAAGCTGGGGAGCTCGGAAACTCGTGCTAGCTTCGCCCGTTTCTCCCCCTCCAACGCCCCTGAGCGCATGGTAGCTGCTGGTAGCTGGTACTCAAGTAGCATCCTGTCAATGACGGCCTTGGAGCTTCTGGCGTCCCGTTGACGGCTTGACGCACGATGTTCGCACGCCGCTGGAGACAGTGTTCTTCCGAACACCATGCTACACAACTTCACATATCCGAGCCCAAGCCAAGAATTCGATTCTCGGAGCATAGGTTGCCGACGCGACCACCCTAATGCATTCTGCTATACAACTTTGGCCTCGGGGCTTCGACATCTCTCCATCCCAAACCTAGGCATGCAGTCGATTGCGTAGGTTCCCGACAGCGCCACGGGCACATACTCCCTCAGCACCTAAGTTTGGCAGTTCGTAGGCGCTAGATGGAATGCGGTGTACAGTCTCCAAAAGGACCCTGCTCAGCAGATCGCGCTTCGAGCTTAGAGTCAAAGGTTCAAATCTTCGAGGCTACTTATTAAACCTTTCCCAGAAACCCGATGGCCCGTGGCTCAGCCCAGCCAAAGGCACATCGACCTGGTAGAGGACATCCTGGCAAAGGAGGAATGGAGAAACCCTCTGAGGCCCCAAGGCCCTAAGGTAATAAGGGCCAACAGGGGCTCGGCGTGGCTAGGGCTGAGAAACTTGGAGTCCTAGCTGCACAACTTGCAACTTGTTCACCAAACATTGCCAGAAAAAAGCAAGAAGAACCTTGCAATGAAGCAACTCCACGCCCTGGCTGAGTGCAGACGCTCGCGGAACGCTTCCTCGGAGTCCGGCGCCTAACACCGCAGCCTCACCCCAAACCCGGTTCCCTGGCACCTCCCGGCCGACCCGGCAAGACCTGAAAGCACAAAAGCTTGGCTGGGCCCGACAACCAGAAGGTCCCTTGAACCTCATTGAATCAACAGCTTGAAGAAAATTGAAGACACAAGTCTCATACACCGCTTGTTGTGATTGTGGCTACGGCTACGAGACCGAGTTTTGGCCCGTACCGTAGCTTTTCTCTTCCTGACGTAGGCCTTCGTCTCCTTGCAACGCTCACCCCAGTACTCGGACTCGGGGTCCAAAGATTCGAGACAGCAGTCGAGAATCGAGGCTAAGGTGCTCTGCGAAGTGCCTCATTCCTGGGCCCTCGGGCGCAGCGGCTCCGAGCTGCTCAAGCGTCTTCTGCGTCCGGAGATGCGTCAAGTGCGCCGAAGACCGGAACCTGAGAGGCATTGCTTACGTTCTGGCCCCGCGGGCACCCCTCAATCACAGGACGAGGGGGGGTTCGATGGGCACATTTTCTGCTGGGTTTGTGCCCACCTCCTGAGCGCCGAGCGCCGTCAGCTCGAGCATGTGAGGCAGACACGCCTCCTCGGCCGAGACGTAGCGGCTTCCTTCAGAAGGAGAGCTTTGGGGTGCCTAAACTCTGAAGACCTGGCAGCGTGGGACAACCTAAGGTCTTGAGTCTGGGGTTTTGCTGCACTTTGTTATAGCACTTTTTCTGATCCGGTCACAGTTCGGTGGAGTGTCGTTTTATTGCCGTCAAAGATACAAGACGGGTTGCATGATTGAGTCTACAAGCAGCTCGGGACTCTGAACATCTTGGGACAAGTGGGGTAAGTTGAGGACCTGGAACTCCAATCCTCAACGCCGAGTCTTTCACGCCTGCTTGGACGAAGAGGCCCAAGGAAGAGCAGAGGCCCTGTCAGCTTGGCCAGAGCAGCGAGAGGGCTGGGCGACGTCGGTCTTGAATTACTCTGTAATTGAAGGACATGTTCACAAGATCGGAACAGGTTTGTCCTTGCCGAGACTTTTACGCAAGCACCACGAGTCCGGGATCATCCTCGGCACCATAATCATCGCCATCATCACCGTCGGTAACAACATGAAGCCTCGTCATCACTACCATTGCCGTCATCGTGCCTCCTCTCCTTCGTTCTTTGCGGAGGCAGCACTGTCGTCGTCGTCGCCACCATCACCTGCGTCTTTCTCGTCATCATTTTTCGATTCATCATCGTCAGCTGGAGCAAAACAAGGCTGCAGTTGTTGTTAAGTAAAGTTCCGAGCGCTTCTCGTGTGAGCTGCCACCGACAGATGGTGCACAACAAGCCCACAAAGACCGTGCCCACAGCCAACCTGAAGTCCCTCGGCCCCCGGCCTGCGACGAAACTCTGAGATGCGGGCACGAACTGGAAATCTACACTTCAAGTCCAAGCAATGAGCCTGTCTATCCACCGCGATGATCTTCACTCCGTTCGGCAGCCGGCCGAAGAGCTGAGCGAACATCCCAAGTCCAAGTGTGGTCCATGGACAAACTGGGACTTGAGATTCTGGATTTTGGGTTTCGGACGTTGAGCGCCTCCACTGCCGTTCGGGTGGTGCACCACCGTTGCTGCTGTGCTGCTTTGTGATTTGACGGAAAGATGCCAACCCCAACTCCCAAACCTCTAACTCTGACTTTAGCCCTGTCAAACCCTCAACCCAGATCGACGTGCACATACAACTGGGAATTTCTTAGCGACTTCGTGAGGTATCGGGCCCCGGCCGGCTCCGGGAATCCTTCCTGCAGAGAAGGGCCGAACCAAGAATGGAGCTTAGGAGTCGTGGGGTTCAATCTGGACTTCAAGGTTGAGGCCGTATGTTCAAGGTTGCGCACACAGTATGACATTGTACAACTGCTAGTTCTGCAGATTGAAAGCGAGCAGCATTGCTGGTTCCCAGGTTTCAGATGCGATGCAGCTCTGAAACTCATCGCCAGCAGGTCGCCCTAAACTACGCGACAAGTGTGTATTCCCAGACACTTGTCTCAGCTATCTCCTCACACAGCACAAGCCGCCTTAATGCCTATCAGGCCTATCAACAAGGCGTCCGGCATCCCTGCATTGCCACTCAGTTCACAGAAACTCGAAGCTGATCCGCGTCAAGAAACAACGAAATGAAACACGACGACCTTCACCACCACTACGACGAGGCTGATTGTGAACATCATCATAAGAGTCATCAGCATCAAGATCTCGACGACGAGGAATGACGACGAAGGCAACGACGACCACCACCGACCACCCCCATCACCACAACAACATTCATACTGTGCTGCAGGGGCAGCTGTAGCAGTAGTCGCAGCAGCGATGGCAATGTAAACGCCCCGCAGCGTAGTAACAAAGCAGAAGAGCGGAGCAGTTGCTGCGACGACAGATCACCAAATGTGCCGTCGCCTCTTTCGCAGCAGCTGTGCGGGCCTGGTCGTGAGAGAAACGCGATGCAAAAGAAAGACAGAGACAGAGAGAGAGAGAGAGACAGACAGACACAGAGCGAGAGCGAGAGTCAAAGAAAATGCAAAGAGAGAGAAAGAGAGACGCGGGGGTGATGGCTGAATAAATCACATGCCATCCGCAAAGAACTGATTCAAGGTGTCGAGGGAGAGACGTCTCACACAGATCCTGCTACCCGAAGCCCCAAGGCAGGGAGGGCCTCAGCAGCGTCCACTGGATGGTCCAGCGGCACGCCCCGATCTTGGAGGTTTTCACGATTTGCGGGCTTATGATTGTCTGTAGGTTGTCTACCTTAGATTCGGAAGGAACGTATGCTCTGCCAGACCACCGCAGCGGTTCACGATTTCGGATCTGATTGTCTAGGATGTTGGTGGATTCTGGGTTTGGTGCTAAGAACCCTTAAAGTCAGCTCTCATTCACACTTGGGTTAACACTTTGCCACTCCGCGGAGGCAGCTCTTTGGGATCAGGCCCTTTCAAACGATTTCGGAGGCTTCAAAATCTTGCGCCATAAAACTTCTCAAACATGTCAGAAAGAAGCGGCTGCGAACACCAAGTGGAAAGCCTACCATCGAACCAATCAAAGCCAAGAGCTCAGTAACATCACACTTCTCCGAATTATCTGAGCATCCAAACGCTGTCCTACATGCCCAAAAGATGTGAAGCGCTACAGGACCCCTAACTCTAGGCCCAGACGCCTGGAACACTGAAATTGCACAGTACATATGCAAGTTCCAACTCCTCAAGGCTGCCGACATGTCTTCGAGGCCACGACAAGGATTCTCCTGCTTGTAGTTCTGCGCATGCCCCCCCAGCACCAGGTCCTACAGCTGCCATGTTCGACACATGGACTGCCTTTTTCAATGTAAACCTTGTCATGGCACGTAAAACTTTTGAATGAGGTCAAACGATGAAACCACGAGTCATGATGATGACAGCGATGGGGAACGATGAGAATAAGGTTGAGAATGGTCATGATGATGAGGAACAGAATCAAAAGTGGTGCTTTGTTGCTGTTCCTCCTACAGGGGCTCGGGCCTTGTGCAGTAGCTTGCTTCTCTGGGGCCCCGGCCGGCATGTCTTGCATGAGCTCGCTCTGCGACTCCTGCACGATGGGAACCTCCAAGGCCGGTGGAGCTACAGTAGCAAACAGATCCCGACATGTGGTGCAAGGGCACGGAGAGGGCCCAGAACAGGGAGGATGGGGCGGAACGTGTGGATCAGGCTAGGAAGGTGACAGACAACAACAGACGTGCAGAAGATCGGCTGAGTCTGGTCAGGCGAAGACTTTGAGGCACGAAGTGTGCACTCCACACCTTGGGGCCGAACGTCGAATCATGAACTAGACTCAAAGCACTAAGAGGATTTCAAAGCTCGGAACCTTCAACCTACATCTCCAACCATAAGATCCAGAACCCGGCCCACAGGCGATGAGCCTCCACGAAGCGCGGCGGCTCCAAGACCCCCACGCCATGCCTTCCATCCAGTTGTCCCAGGCTCAGGGCTTTGCAAGGGACGAACGGCCATGATAAATCTTGAGAACCTGCATAACTCAGAGAGAGTTTACAGTTTGAGTGGTCGACTAGGAGACAATGCATGTGGAGCGGGTGCGTTTACACAGAAGACCTGCTTCAAGGATCATGGGCCTTCGGAAATGCATTGAACTAACCTCTCCAGGTATTCGTGACGCTAAGTACGACTACCAATGAAATCTCAAGCATGCAAAGTGAAAGCAGCATGCAGCCACGCAGCTGCAGCCCTCGGCACTGGAGAGCTGGCAGGCCTGATAACTCAGGGATGGGTTTTGGGGCTCAGGGTTTAAGAGTTTCGGGTTTCGAGTTTCGAAGTTCGGGGGGTGAACCTTTAATGATTAAGCTGGGCCATGCGGGGTTTGAATGCACTGTTAATCCAAGCATGCAGACCATGCAGCGGACATCTTTTCACTTGCTGATTGCCCCAAATGCTAGCCGGGCTCAACTTCAGAATGCAGAGATCTGAAGGCTCCAAATGCCGGATTCGTTTGCTTGAAAGCCTCTTTCTTGAGATGCGTACAACAGCGACTCTGCCACTAGTCACTAGTCTACATCGAGCAGCCATTGCTGCTTCAAACAGCTTCAGAACTGCAGACAGCGTTCTCGCATCAATTGCCTGAACGTACGAGTCTGTTCCATCTGGAATCTGAAGGAACTACAGAGTACAAATTGATCGAATCACCAGAACCAGAACCTCACAAACGAGTCCCGCAGCTGAGGCGCACCCGGGTTCTTAAGGGACCTGAACCTTCAAGGCCTCGACCTCAGGCGCCAGACACGTGTGCCTTTGACCTTGCATCTGCAATCACAGCCAAACCCCAACAAACAACCTCCTGGGCATCCAGCAAGAGTGAACATGCCCTGCCCTGCCCTGGCCCGTGGGAAAAGCTGCTCAGAGCCCCACATGCCCGCTGCAAGAGCGGCCGCGCCAGGCCCGCACTGCGGACTCGGAGCCCGACCTTGCCAGCTGCTGCTGCTCCTCCTCCTCCTCCTCCTGCTGCTGCTGCTGCTGCCACTGCCACTGCCACCTTCACTGCCACCTTCACTGCCGCTGCCACTGCCACTACCACTAAGATGACGAGAATCCGACCCGTCCCAGCGGCGGCAGCTTCGACAAGAATCGAACCATGGCCGAGAACGTGTCTTGGTTGAGGGCTTGAAGTTCAGGACTTTAGGGCTTGAGTCTGTGGGAGTTTCGGGCTTCGGGGTGGGGTGCGGGGTTCAGGGCATTGGGTGCGTCGGCTGTCTGGCTGCAGGGAACCCAGGTTGTACTCCTTCTGGGTTTTGCTTCGGCCAAGTCTGTCTGTAGCCTTCTTCCTTATTTCTTTACATGTCCTGTCCTTCGTAACTTTCATGGAATGGGCGCCACGGTCTCGGTTCCAAGACCGCGCCTCGGTGCTGGCAGAAGAACGAGGCGCTGGTGTTGATTGGAGATCGGTTCAGGACAGGCTTGAGGGTTCAGGCATTTTGCCCTCTATGGGAGGCAACGCAAGGAAACTCTTCCCTGTCAGAGGGAACCCTTCGCAAGTTTCGCACGGAGTCTGCGCAAGAAGTAAGCATCACATCCGAGAGGAAGATTGCACTTCGAGCATGTGACTCTACAAGCAAACGTCCAAAACACCTCAACCCAACTCCTGCACTCGAAGCCCCAACACGCAAGATACCCTGAACCCTGCCCTTTCAATAGCCCAAACATCCCAAGCCCCAGGGCCATCATACGCCTTTTTCGTCGGAGGCAAAGCTTTGAAGGCTTCCCAGCCGGCGGAGGTCTTTGGGTGGGCTTCGGAGCCCGGAGGGTGGCCGAGGGCTTACCTGATAATTCTGCGGGTATGCAACTTCCATATGGTCATGCTAAACTTCCAGGGCTTCGGGTGATCAGTTGCGAATGGTTTCTACTAGCTTACTTCTGTTGTTTCTTGCTCGTCGTTGCACAAACAGTTGATAGGAGCAGCTTTCGGAGTTGCTTAAACTGCGTTGAGGTGTAAGGCAGCTCCCAGGCACCTCAAAGGCAGAGGCTTTCTTTGCTCACGGAGATCAACTACGGCACAGAAGCCCTCTTTCAATTAATGGGTCTGAACTGCATTGCCTAAAACATACTGGAAGACGAAACAGCTTTCAACTCTGAACGTAGCAACCCCAACAATGCCGAGCAGTAATGTACGGGTCAATTGCTTTTTTGGGGCCCTCCGGGTTTAGAGTCTGGAGCAACGCCTCTAAACCCTAAGCCACCCGGCGGGTCTCCAAGGGTTCTTCAGGCGCCCCCCCTCGCGATCTTCGCCAAGCCCAGCAAACCATCGCAACCAAGCTACCGCTCAACAATTTTAACAGTGAGATGCAACTAGGGCTCATAAGGGTGTGAAATTTTAGCATGCAAAGTGTAGAGTTGAGTTTGCTGTCCATAGCAACTGAATCCTGATTTTCGTTGTTGGCCGTCTGTGTTTTACACTTCAGATAGTGGAAGGATGAAGTGATCCTCTTTGGACATGAGAGAACATGACATATCAATGCAGATTCACAGCGATACAATACGTTGCGGAGCAGAATCGAAGCAGCTGAGGCTTGTAACTTCCTGACAACTCGAGTGACTCCTGAAACCGTCAGCACATACTGGCAACCCTAGGCCCCAACACGGCCGGGAAACCAACAACCCTTGTCACCGGCCGAGAGATCAGCAAGGAGGCGTGCCAAACTACCGGCGCTGCATCTTTTGCAGTGCCACTTGGGGGTATCGTTATCATGTCAGCCACCGTTAGTGTTCCCGTGGCTACTACTTCTCTTGTAGTCGTACGTACCTTTGTTTCCAACCTTCGATTTTGTGGTAAAAACTCTTTCTCATCCTGGTTGGTGGCGAGAGGGGTTCGGGTTGTAGGCTTTCGACTTAATGACGGATACGTATGTATGTGTATGTACATATGTATATGTATATGAGTGTATATATATGTATATATTTTTTTTGCTTTTGGATTTAAGGTTTTGAATAGTTTAGGGTTGAAGCTGTCTGTTACATCGGGGATGGGTCCTACACCTAGATCCGCTCAGAGCTCGAACCAGCTTGGACTGGTTTAGGTAGGCAGACGCCTGCCAGGAACTCGATGCACGAGACAAACACGGAGCTGCCAACCCCAATTGCACTAAGGATACTGCAGCTCCCCATGACAGCTGCACAAAAGCAAGCATAGCAAGCTCGAGGGTCGTTGGCTGCAGCTTCTGACGGGCTGAGGGGATTTGGACTGAAGGAACTCGGATCGCCGATTCTATAGATTAGGCCCACGCGTCTCGGAATGTTGGACGTTATGACGTTAAACAGCGTCAGGTGCTCGGTGCTTTTTCAAGGGTTTGGAAGGCCAGCGGGCTCTTCCAGGAAAGCCCGGTGTCCTACTTTCCCAACCGCTTGGATGAAGAGGGATTTACTGTTCTGAAATGCCCCTGGCTAGGCCTGGGTTGCTGGAACCGCGAAAATCTCGAACCATGCAGGCCCGAATTGCGGCACAAAAAAGCAAGTCCCGAACTCCCGCCCTACAGTGGTTTTAAAACGAAACTCTTCTAAATCATAGCCTGTCCTGCTGACAGCTCTAAAAGGCATCCAACGCTCCGTTGAACCCAAGCCTTTAGAGCTCTTTCTTCTCTGCCGACTTGTCGTCCTGTTACTTCGGAAGCTTCAGGAGACGACTACGATACCTCCAGGTTTCGGTGTGCGGGCGAGGGGCGAGAGGTTAAAGCTCGAGCTTTTTGTTTGGGTGTTTGTGCTTCGGGGCTGGAGCTTGATGTGCACGTGTCGTGCTTTCGCAGTTCATCTTCCGTGCAGAATTTGGGCTTGACATCCTCATCGTATACCGGACGGATACTCTTTAACTCAGATCCAAAACATCTCCGCAGGGTCCTGGAAGGGTGTCGACACGCAAAAATCGGACTCGCCGAGGGTCGGCGCGTTGGAAAACGCCTGGGCTGCACCGACTTCAGGAATCGGCTTGAGCTTTTGGATGTCCACCGACTTTCACAGATAAAAGCAAGACGAGACTTGTGCCCTCAGAAATTTCGAGAGATACAGCGAGAGTTCGGATTCAGGCCACAAGCCATTCACACAACATGCCTACCTACCCAGGAGACGGCCGTCATAGTTTTCAGGGGCTCCGCGCTAGGATGTGGGTCGTGCCGTCAGGCACGAGGATTCCCGTTGACAGCTCCACCTGCGAGGCTCTTTTGCTCGACTCGCATTTTGGGGTTTCTCGCCGCAGGCTACAACTGCATCTGAGTCTGAGACATTTGCTCTGGGACTTGTCTCTGTCTGGGCCGTGTAGTCTCACGTTCCACTGTGAGGTGGGCTGAATTCATGCTCATGCTTACCTCAAGTCTGGAAACTCAGCAAACCGCCTGTTGCACAAGGTGTTACATTACAGGACAGCCAGTGTGAGATGGCCGAGGAAGCCAAACCCACAGACTCTTTTTCTTGAGACTTGGCTGTCAGCTGAGGCGAGGTTGTATGCGCATTTATCCCAATTTACCGCCCCGATCCCAAACGCTAAACCCTGAGTCGTCGTCACTCCTTCCAGAGGAAACCACCAGCACCAACCCTCCGCCTGCCTCGAGGGACTCGTCCTTACGGACGTCCTGGCGATGCGGGTAGGAGCTCAGAAGCGAGTAGTTATTCCTCACAGATAAACAACTCAACTACCCCTCAACTCCAAAACCCAGGGCCTTGAGGTAACCATTCTTGGCCTGAGCGTCTTGCTCCTTCTCACCACAGGCATGCTTGCCCCAGAACAGCCTGACGTCTTGGGGTCGACGTTTCAGGAGGGAAGTTCTGGAATAGTGCCCACGTTGTAGATGATCCGATGATCCGACGGATTTAGAGCGATGAAGAGGACTTGTGCCGGACCTGACACAGGAGGCCGAGCAATTCCTTGCCCTGCGTCTATCATGAAGTGCTCCACTTGTTCGGGACCCCCATGTTGAACCCTTCACATGAATCCGAAGTATTTTCAGCATGATTGGGAATTGCTGGGGTTTGCAGACGCGCTGGGATCTGGCTCGAGCACCGAAGAAGGGATTCCAACCACACTCTGGCATTGAACTATGTCGTTGTTCGTCAAGCCGGGACGAAGCAACTCAAACCAGGACGTGCCTGTACTTGTCAATCTTCTCCTCGTTTTTTGCAGGCGTGATGGTCACTTTGGCCTGTCAGCCCAGTGGTGCTTGGGGAAAGTTGGCTGTTGCTGCTCATGCTTCGGTTTAGGGCATGGGTCCAAGAGTCTGGAAATGAGGATTTCATCTGTGCAACTTGCGCAGTCTTCATACACTGGATGGCTATCGGCGCGGCTGCATCGTCTTACTGCCAGAACGTTTCTGGACCGGCCTTCACGTTCTTCGGCTCTGGATTCTCGTCTGCTGTTGATTCAACCTGCAACAGGCAAAGCCGCCGGGCGCCAAGGCTTGACATGGGGTCATGGGGTCGTTCTTAGTTCCTGGCCGCTTTGGCGGAGTCCGCACTGCCGATCGCATGCACGAAGAGTAGCACACTTATGTGTGCAGTTGAGGTAACACCCACCAGTACCGACGATGAGAAAAAAGAGAGAACGACAATAAGCTGAGTAGCAATGACATGCCACTGAAAACAGAAAGTATTCAATGAGTTATCGACATGCTCATTGTGAATATGATGGTGATTGTGCTCATCATCACTGTCACGACTACTCGTCATCATAACCATGCTATCTTCCTAATTGGTGTTAGACTTGCTGTGACTTCCGACTACCACCGCTCTGCAACCACCACAAGCTACCACCGAAGCACTCTCAGCCTTCTTGAAAGCAGCGTCTGGCATCCTCCCCCCATCCACGGCCCATCCCATCCACCTGCCTTCTGCGGACAGGAATCCTCCTCCTTGGACACGCAAGGCTTCGTCCGATCCACGACCTGCAAAAAGGCTCTGCTCTCTGCAGACGGCTCTGGCGCTTCCAAGGCCCAGCGGAGGGTCGTCCGACTCCCGACTCCCGACTCCACACTCCGTGTTTCGTAGTTTCAGCAAAAGAAGCTCCGCTCCCGCTCTCGGCTTCAGAATTCTTCCGCCCTCAACAGAGGCCATCCCCCACGGGTCTAAGAACTTTGGGGGCTGTAAGGCTCTCGTGAAGT